CCAAAGGTCTCTTCCAGCCTGGAGCATCTAACAGAGAACAACATTTTGCCAATTAAATTCAGTCAGATTATGTGTCTGAAGGTCAGTTTTCAATTCTTTGCACATATTTAATTGAATTAAGGCCTAGACTTTGACTATACCTTTTTAACACGTGAGTAAGCCAGGATTGAAACCATTCCATTGTTGGTCTGGTTGCGAGGACTGAAGGTCAAGCTGTTTTAGCCATTCTTAACTCTGATTGGAAAAGTGCGTATCGAGTTCAATGGATTACTCCAAACAGCAAATAAACACCAGCTGGGAGTGTCCTCTTCTTCAGGGACATCAGCAGCTCCAATGCCAAATTTCCTCCTTTCTTCAAACCCTTCTGTTGCATTTCCTGTTTAGTCCAGCTCTCTTGTGTCTCAAAGAAACCGAGCTCTATCAAAGTTGGACAGGCGAGGAGTGCTGAAGTAAAGCCCATAAACATTGTTCACATCACAGCCCTTGAAGCTTGTTAACTAAATTCACACAGATTTTTATAGTGTAAAGCGAACGAAACGAATGAAGACACGAGTCGTACAGCCTCGTGAATTCCCAGACAGGCTTGTTGCAGACACCGCTGGGATTGTGGGGGTTACTACGCTGTCAATACACGTACGTCACGAAGTCTGTGCATGTGTTCCCAGAAGCCATTAATGTCATTGATGATGGTGTGGCGAGCTGTCGTTTCAGAGGTTTGTGGGATTGAGAGCCTGCAGCACTGCTGATAGACTATGTTTTTGTATACGTGTGTGTGTGTGCGTGCGTGCGTGCGTGCGTGCGTGTGTGTGTGTGTGTGTGTGTGTTAGTGAATGACAGAGAGGGAGAGAAAGAGAAAAGAGTGTGAGGCAGGGCTGAGTCTTGCAGATGGGAGAAAATGTAAAATATTTTTTTTACTGAACATCAGTAAAAGGAATCCCGAAGCTGCCTGTTGGCAACCTGTCACTTTTCAGACAGGGTGGAAGCTGATTAAAATTGAAAAGGAAAAGTGTTGGTGAATCGCGGCTGTGGTCTGCTGGGTTTGCATCAAATCAACATGTTCTAATAGAGACTGATGGGTTTCTAAATGCTGTTCACGATCCCCTAAGGTCCGCTTATTTTTATAAACTAAAAGGCATCGGCAAGTATGAGATGAGGTACTTGAGACGATCTGATTTGTGAATAGATTCCACTAAGAAACAGAAAATTCCTGGGTTATTTAAATGATTAAGTATCCATTCTAAAAATAATAAAAGCAGATTTCCAATTTTCTCTCCCATTCATTTGCCTATTTCTAAGCAGCTACAAAATGCCCATCAACACTGCCCTCTACTGGTGAAGCAACAAAGTTAAATTCAAATAAAGGAACAAAGAGAAACTGCTTCCATTTCAAACACATTTATTGTTTCCATGAACACTCCAAAAGTCTCCATTTTAAATCAAAACCGTAGAAGTGACAAGATACAAACATTTATATATCCTACAGTGCGTTGCGTTCATCAAGTAAACCTAATCTAGTGCTTGTTTGTGAACAGATATTTGTCCACCATGAAGCTACAACAGACTCATTTCATTTCGGACAGAACTTTCAAGTGGGTTCCAGGTATGTTTCAGTACTTGAGACCTGTGTCGGCCGGAACAGGTCAAGTTCTGCTCAAGAACAAAACACAAAACCAGTCTTCCATCCAAGCCTCCTGCAGGATGAGTCATCAGCCCAAACCAGTGAGGTGGCAGCAGCAGGGAGGGGTGAGGGGGCTTAACAGCAAGGAGGGAGGCACCGCAAAAAGAGCCCGTCGTTCACACACTAAAATATTAACTAGTCAAATAGAACTGCATTTAATATCTAACAAAAAAAAAAAAAAAAAAAAAAA